AAACTTCTTCTCCTTCTTTTTTGCCGCTGTAACCGCCTAAGCGATTTTGGCCGAGTTCAGCAAAGCACGCCAGTCGTTTCTCCTCTGTGCCAACTGACGCCAAATGGAAACACCAAGTGAAGCCAATTCCTTCTCCACCTGATCTTTCCATCGCAGTGGGGGCCTCCCTCCTCCTCTGCTACCACCAGCGGGTTCCGAGTTGAATACTTTCAGAGCTGGAGCATCGGTGTCCATTGGAACGACATGGCCAGCCAGCGGAGCCGCGGCATTTTAATTCGCTGCATTATGTTCATGTCGCTGTAAGGCTCATACAGCTCATTGTTCCATGGTCTGCGGTAGTCGCCGTCGCCAACGCGTAAAGGCCCGTAAATCTTCCGCAAAATCTTTCTCTAAACACTCCAAGAGCCGCCTCATCGGATGTTGTCATTGTCCATGCTTCTGCGCCATATACCAGCACGGGCATGATGAGTGACTAATAGAGCGTGGTTTTCGTACGTCGAGAGAGGACTTTACTCCTGAATTGCCTACTCAGTCCAAAGTAGCACTTGTTGGCAAGAGTGATTCTGCGTTGGATTTCAATGCTGACATTATTATCGGTGTTAATGCTGGTTCCCAAGTAAACGAAATTCTCTACTTTCTCGAAATTGTAACTGTCAACAGTAACGTGGGTGCCAAGGCGCGAATGTGCTGACTGTTTGTTTGATGACAGGAGATACTTCGTCTTCTCCTCGTTTACCACCAGACCCATTCGCTTTGCTTCCCTATCCAACTTGGAAAAGGCAGAACAGACTTCGCGGTTTTTGTTACCGATGATATCGATGTCATCGGCATAAGCCAGCAATTGCACGCTCTTGTAGTAAATTGTTCCTGAGCGGTTCAGTTCTGCAGCTCTTGTTATCTTCTCCAACATCAGATAAAACAAATCACATGAAAGGGAGTCGCTCTGTCTAAAACCCCGTTTTGTTTCCCAATTCTGACGGAGCTGGTGGTATTGCTCAACGTCATTTTACACAGCCGTATGAGTTTTGAGGGGATGTCAAATTCAAACATAGCGGCGTATAGGCAACTCCTTTTAGTGCTGTCAAAAGCGGCTTTAAAGTCGACAAATAGGTGGGGAGTCGATCCTTTTCTCGCGGGTCTTTTCCAATATTTGGCGTATTGTGAATACCTGGTCTATGGTGGATTTGCCAGGTCTAAAGCCACACTGATAAGGCCCAATCAGTTCATTGACGGTGGGCTTCAGTCTTTCACACAATACGCTCGATAAGACCTTGTAACCTATGCTTAGAAGGCTAATCCCGCGGTTGTTGGCGCTAATGGCGGCGTCCCCTTTCTTGTGGATTGGGCAGAGCATACTTAAATTGCAGTCGTCGGGCATGCGTTCATCTAACCATATTCTGCACAAGAGTTGATGCATGCACCTTATCAACTCCTCGCCGCCGTACTTGAATAGCTCAGCTGGCAGGCTGTCACCTCCAACGGCTTTGTTGTTTTTCAGCCGCGTTATTGCTATATGTACCTCGTCATAGTCAGGCGGTGGAACGTCGACTCCATCATCATCGACTGCGGGCTCGGGTTCTTCTTCACCACAACTTTCCGTGCTGCTATCATTTAGTAAGGCGGAAAATTGTTCCCTCCATAATTTAAGTACGCTCTAGACATCAGTTACTAGGTCGCCATTATTGTTCTTACAGGAGTACGCCCCGGTCTTTAAACCTTCCGTAAGTCGCCTAACTCTCTAGTAAAACTTTCGGGCATTCTTCCTGTCGGCCAGCATTTCAAGCTCTTCGCACTCACGTATTTCGGCCTCTCTCTTCTTATTGCGGCAAATATGTCTCGCTTCCCTCTTCAGATCCCTATAGTTTTCCACATAGCGCGCGTTGCGCCCGATCGCAGCGTGGCCCTGTAGGCGGCATCTTTTTTCTCTGCAGCTTCCTGACACTTCTCATCGTACCAGTTGTTCTTTCGGGCTCGCTGAAATCCGACTACTTCTTCGGCGGCGGTACTTAATGAGCGGGAAATGTGGTTCCACTGCTCGCATATTTCGGTTTGTTGAAGAGTGCTCTCTGAAAGCAGGTGTGATAGTCGAGTAGCGAAAGCGCTGGCTGTCTGTTGTGATTGCAGCTTTTCGACGTTAAGCTTTCCTTGCATACTTGGGCGCATATTTTTTGCTGCACAGAGGCGGGTGCGTATCTTGGCTGCAACAAGATAGTGGTCCGAGTCGATGTTTGGGCCTCGGAGTGGGCGTACGTCTAAAACACTGGAAGCGTACCTTCCGTCTATCACAACATGATCGATTTGGTTTTTTCGTTTTTCGATCCGGAGACAGCCACGTAGCTTGATGGATCTTTTTATGCTTGAACTTAGTACTGCATACTACCATGTTTCGGGCCCCGGCGAAGTCGGACGTTTCGTCGTGGAGGCTTAATTTTCCGACGGTGGTTCCAAAGATCCCTTCTTTGCCCACCCTGGCATTGAAATCGCCAAGCATGATTTTGATATCATGGCGGGGGCAGCGCTCGTACGTGCGCTCCAAGCGCTCATAGAAGAGATCCGTGGATACCTCATCCTTCTCTTCCGTCGGTCCATGGGCGCAGATAAGCGAGATGTTGAAGAATCTCGCTTTGATGCGGATTGTTGCTAGACGCTCGTCCACCGGGATGAACGACAGTACTCGGCGACGGTGTCTCTCTCCCGCCACAAATCCAACTCCGAATTTGCGCTCCTTTACATGGCAGCTGTAGTAGACGGCGCAAGGCCCCAGACATTCTTGCCTTGCCCCGTCCAACGCATTTCTTGGATGGCGATGATGTCAGCTTTTGTCCTTACGAGGACATCAACCTCCCGGGAAGAGGCACCTTCGCCATTAAGGGTCCGGACATTCCAGGTGCATGCCCTCAAATCGTAGTCCTTTAACCGTTTGCCGTGGTCGTCATCATAAGGGGGGGTCTCATCCGAGGCTTTGCCTTGCTTCTTCACTGGAAGTGGTTTTTACGTGGCGGGTCCCAAGCCCAGCGCACAACCCATTGCTGGGACGGGGGTGGTTTCGCAACCAAATACACGTTTATATAGCGAGCCGCTTGCTCCAAGCAGACATCCGCTTGCAGCCGCACCTACTGGTGAACAGACGCTGCAGACTTCAGTGAGCCCTTAAACCGAATAAGTCGGAGTGGCCCGACCGAAGCTCCCTCTCTTTCTGCCGTGACCCAAGGCTCCACTCGCATTTGTTACCGCATCTCGCACATGAGTTGCTCACGTTGCCCAGAGTGCGCGAACGAGGACGCAAGAGTCGGGATTGAGTATAGCCATGCAACTGTAACTGCATACCCAGCGCAACGACTATACCCCATTGCACTCCACTAAATTTTAGTGAATGGTTCTTGCAAATAATAGTATTTTGTGGTTGAAATGACTTGATCGCCGGCAGGAACTAATCAACTTTTTTGCCAAAACCAAAGCAGACGGGAAGGAAAAATAGTTGTTCATTAACGATTTGTCCGAAATATCCTTCTAGAAACGCGCTACTGCTCACTAAATTTGTAAAAATCAAATTTTTTCCACTTAATTGTTATATTTTTCTTCATTGTGGTAAATTTCCACATCATCACAGCAGCTGGCTGTCAAACCGAAACCAAAAAAGATACCAGAACATTCAGGGCGCAATCTTCTTTTCTATGATTATTGTACTGCTACTTTGAATTTCTCAATTTTGACAATTCTGATCTAAAAGTAAACGAAACCTCAGAAACTTTAAATGCACTGCAATTCACTAATACCTACTTCCGCAAAAATCACCTTTTTCCTATTTTCTTTGTTAAAAGTTATTTTAAATAATATATATGCTGTTTGCAAACATTTTTCAATTTAAAAACCTTTTTTAAGGCTACTTTAGTTTTTATGAATAAGGCTATTAGAATTTAGCACAATTAAAACACGTTCCCTATCGAAAAATTTATTATTAAGAAAATTGGCTGTTCTCACATTTTCTTTGAACATCCAATTCGACTTTGTTTACTTTTGTACAGATATGTCATCGCCGCCAGGACGGCGCAATCTTGTATTCTATCTTTCTTGTCAAATATGCATTATGTCTAACTGTCACACTACTTTTAATGGTAACCATGTTCATTAAAATCGTTTCAATTCGTAATTAAAGTAGTTTACATACTTCTAGTCTAAATATATTTTTTAATATAAAGTAGCTTTTTTAATTCTAAAATAAATCAACAATCTCAAGATTTATAAAAAATGTGTCTTCAAAAAATACGTTTCAAGCATCCCTGTTGATATCATAATTCAAATGCAAATTAGAATAGAAATTTTGATGCAAAAGATTTTCCGCGGTATTCATCATACAAATTTATCACCTTACTTGTCCGTATGTGGCTCTGGAAAGAAATATATTTTAATTTATATGTTTTCTTAAAAAGAAATGCAAATTTACCTATTTTTTCCACCGGCAGGCACGAATATGGTATTCAAAACAGAAACAATGGCAACGAATTTTACACACATTGTTGTATTTTAGCGCAAAACGATAAGTTTCACAAATATTTTAAATTATTGCCTGGAACACACACATTTATCATTATTATTGGAAATGCAAGACTTGGCATGCATTTTTTATTTCTTATTTTATCAATTCAAATGAATAAAAACACATTTTTCTAAAATATTTCTCAATTTACATTTTAAAGTTTTTTCTGAAACTTGAATGTAACTCTGTGCGGAGAATGAGAGAATTGAAAATCAGGTGATCTGAGCTGTTTTCAAATGTAAACAAACAAAATGGCGTTTTCCATACTTTGCTACAGCAAAGAAAGTGATTAAAAGTAATAAACCGAGAGGAACAGTGGAATCTGGTATTTGTAAAGCTCTTCCATATGGGCTTTGTTTCTTTTCTTTTCTAGCAGATAGTTATCAGGAAGAAGAAGAATGAGAAAATAACGAAAAAGTAAAGAAACGCAAAACTAGCAAGTAAGTATTTGACTATTGAAAATATTTGGCGCGAATCTTTGTTTATCCATTTTGACAGCTGCTAGTTTCTGCTAGTTAACATTTTACCAGCAGAAATTAGCAGGAGAGTCAAAAAAGAAGAGCGTAAGAACGAGAGAGAGCTGCTAGTTTCTGCTAGTTTTTTTGGGTTAAGAAACGCTTTCCAGCAGAAATTAGTGATAATTAGTGATAATTATCTGTTAAGAAACATTGCTATGGTTGGACAATACATACCTCACTGGAAAGCAAGAATGATAGAATACAAGATTGCGCCGATCAGAGAGGATTTTTTAGCGTAATTTTTGAGTGACGTCATACTGGTGCAGCTGCGAGAGAGCGATGTCAAAACGCGAACAAGAATGCAAGAAGAAGAAGGCATTTTGCACAATACGAAAAAATGTATTCATAACACATTAAAATGGGAAAATTTATAGATATTAAGGATATATATTAGCTTTAATTATAGATGAAAGCGTTGTTATGGTGTTGTGCATATAGTCTTTAGGGTAAGTATGAAAAATAATGTTGGGACAAATGCATGTGTTAAAAATGTTTGCCATTTCAGAATCAACGCTCCCACGAGTTAGTCGAAGATGAAATCTTTGGAAAGTATTATCAAAGGTATTCTAAATAATATGTGAATCAACACCACGCATTGGTTATGACTACCGCGACGTGATTTTCAGCATGTCATCGCCAATGATTGCAGATTTAGCTTTTGAATTCATGCCAAATCAAACAACTTCCGACGCGTACCTTGATGAAGGTGAGCAATTAGTGCGTGGGTCAGAGCACTTGCTGCAGACAATTGGCAGCGAAGCAAATGCCGCACTGCGCCAAGCCAACTCTGAGCTGGTTGCGTGTCCTTCAGAATACTCAATGTTGAAGACCTGGTTCAGTGTGCAGAGGAGGCAATTCGAGCAAGGAGTACTTGGTGGTGCTTGATCATATGGGCAAATTAAAAAGTTTAATATACAGTGACGGAGGCACAGATGTAGATCGCGTTTTCCAAAAATGTGAATTCTACAATACAATAAAAGTAAAATATCACATACATGCGAATATATTAAAACAGAACTTGCAGCAGCGATTCGAGTTGCTGGTGCAATTCACTGAAAAGCCTTTCTCCCATTCCAAATATGTTACGCTGCAGGTATCGAAGGATTCTCGAAGGTAAAGCTGAAAAGGGCCTTTATGTTAAGCGGATGAACTGAAGAACAGTTCTCGTTACGAACTGCAAAAGATAAAAGGGAAAAATTTTAAAGAAACGTTAGATTTATATTTTGTCAGACACTATACCTTGTACATTAAAAGAACATTAATATGAAGCGACATCAGACATTTTCAGTTTTCTGGACAACGTGCTGGAATTCGCGATGTCTTCTTGACTCCAAGTAGGTTTCCTAATGCCGTGCTTCAGTTTCGAAACCTGACCCTTCGTCAAAATGGTCTGCAGTTTGCTCTCCATGTTTTTACACATATTTACGTATTCATCCAAGCGTTTTTTAGCTGTTCCACCTCATAGTCATGCTTCTTTTTCTGCTTACCGTACTCTTGCTAGAGTGCCGCCAGTTCCATGCTTTCTTTTTGTTCTCCATTAACAGAGTCTTGTTTTCTCGCTTAAGTATTTTTCTACGTGTAACAAAATTAAAAATTTAAACACAAGAATATGCCAACATGTTTATATTGCCTTATTTCTTTTACAAACTTACAGTTTAGCTTCCAGCTCCTCAACTTCCTCCAAACTGCTGTCGTAGTAGAAGAATTTGCGAGGTGTTGAAGTCGCGGGGATTTCGGAAAGATTTGCATCCACTAGGTTATTTTCCTTATTCTCCACATTTTCGTCAATCGGAACAACGTTGGCACCGTTATTCGCCTCGGCTATAACAACTTATTTGCAAATATAAGTCGAAACTTTCTTTAAAATCAAATTGTTACCTTCATTGACTGCGACAGGTTCACTCTGCTGAAGTAACTCGCTGACAATCTGTTTGTACTCCTCGCGCTGAACACTTTCGGCACGCTGGGAGGTTTCCCCATCCTCTGAGTAAATGCTGGGCACAGGACCACGCTTTAAAAGGCGTTTTTTTGCAAATCCTAAAGCGTTTGCAAAAATAACATTAAATGGGATGAATTTAGAAAATGCACAATATATTACCCATTTCGAACTGTCGATTGTTCTCTATATCTTCACTAAAAAAGTGCTTCATGCACACGTAGCTCGATTTGGGATTCAATACTGCACTTCCTCGCCGGCAAAACTGCATCCACTTTCTGGCGAGAGCTTCGTCCGTAGGAAACGAAAAAAAGCTTATATCGCACGCTTGCCTATGGTTTTCACTATCACAATTTGCCACTGCACACTTCATTTTGCTTTAGTAAAAGTTTAAATAATCGCTTTGAACTGCTTAAAATCTCGCAGAAATAACACACAAATAAATTGCTAAGTTCAAAATCAACAATTGCACCAGTGTGACGTCATACAAAGAGCTCATTCTGTCAAATCCGATAAGAGAGGAATAGCGCATCCGAGATCGGCGCAACCTTTGTATTCTCTCAATCGTGACTGGAAAGGAATATGCGCATGGTTGATATTCTGGAGGGCGACGAGTATTGCGCTTGAAAGAAATTCAACAGTTCATGGTTTAAATACCCTAAATTAAATACGCTGCCTTAAATTGATCATTAAGAAGCTCGGGAGTATAACGAGTTTTGCGATGCAGGAGAATCTCGTGAGAAAGCGATCCTCGCAAGAAGTTGCTTCTCGAACCACTACGGGAAATCAAAAGCTCTACTGCATACTCAAAAAGATTCTAAAAACCTTTGTTTAAAATTTTAAAATATTGGTGAAAATTTGTCGAGTTTTCCTAAAATCAGAATGGTCCAAGTTTTTTATAAAAAGTAAAATTACATTAATAAAATTAATTTAAAGGTGAGTGACACAAAAGCACACGCTTCCAGAGATTTGCCCATATGGCCTTACGTTTTAAATCAGCTATGCTGTCGTTCAATATTTTATCATGTACAATGTCTGCTATTGTGGAAGATAGTGGGTTGCCCATTGGTATACCATAAATTTGTTGAAGTATTATTGCATATGTCGGCCGCTAAGCTGGTAAGCAGTGCGCGCTTTCACTCATCAGCACCTGGGTTCAAGCCCTGGTCAAAGCAACATCGCAAAAATTTAGAAAGAAGGGTTTTTCTTAACAGCGGTCGTCCCTCGGCAGGCAATGGCAAACCTCCGAGTGAATTTCTGCCATGAAAAACAGCTTCTCATAAAAATACAATCGCCGTTCGGAGTCGGCGTAAAACTGTAGGTCCCTCCGCTTTGTGTGACAACATCAAGGCGCACGCCACAAATCGGAGGAGAAGCTCGGCCAAACACTAACATATGTGTAAGCGCCAGTCTATTATTGTTATTATTATTATTATTATTGTTGCATATGAAATAATTGTTGCCCTGTAAACAAAAGTCTAGGATTTTCTGAAATTTTGTTTTTATCCAATTTTTGTGTGATTCTCCAACTTTTGCCATTTCTGCATAATCGTAATTGTAAATAATGACACGACGTCAAAAGAATCAAAATTTCGTTGTTTTGGAGTTTTTTGTTGAGCTTGTATGAATTTTTGATGTTATAATTCTCGGATATAATGTTTTTCAAAATACTGCCAATGCATTTTGATAATTTGTATCAAGTGTGTATAAAGAGGATTACAAATAAAAAAAATGGGTGAATTATTAAGCGACTATAAGGAATGATCCAGCACAACAATTATTAGGAAAAAACAACGCCATTATTAACGACCTATACAAACTCAACCCTAAATAAAAGTTACAAGTGACCTGTGCGGCGGCAAATGCACCTAGACTATATGGTTTCCCAAAAATTCACAAGTCAGACCGATAGCATCTTCCACAAAGATATCTTGCTACAAATTATCAAAAATCATTGGCAGGATTTTAGAAAACACTATATCCGAGGATTATAACATTAAAAATTCATACAAACTCAAGTAAAAACTCCAAAACATCGTCATAGAAGATGAAATTTTGATATCTTTTCCCGTCGTATCATTATTTACAAATATTCCGATACATCTAGCGATACAAACGACTATGCAGAAGTGGCAAAAGTTGGAGAATCACACAAATATAGGAAAAAACACACTTTCAGAAAATCAACAACAACAATTATTTCATATGCAACAATACTTTTTACCAAGAAATTTATGGTATGCCAATAGGCCACTACATCCAACAATATCAGACATTGTACTTGACAAAATATTGGACGACAGCCTAGCTGAATTAAAACTTAAAGACATATATACATACTAGGGATGTTGCGAATGCGGAATTTTAGACATCCGCGGATGCGAATGCGGATGCGAATATCTAAAAGCTAACATACGCGGATGCGAATGCGAATGCGGATGTCAAGTATTTTTAAGAAACAATTAGAATCTAGCATAATGGCGAGGTCAAACCAGATGTGTCAGGTTTTTCTAAAGCTTTAAAAAAAAAATTCTTTATTCTCATTACTTTGGCTGTTTCGAATTTGAGAAATCTGTAACTTCATCAACGTTTTTCGATTTAATTTCTGTAATTAATTTTTAATACTTTCTTCTGCGACTGGTTTGAAAAATTTGTGCTTATAGCGAGCTAAATAGGTGAATATGAAAAATAAATTATTATTTTCCATGAATGAAAATTTTGAACAAAATTCTGTTTACAAAGTCGTGGCTGCCAGCCGCATCGGATCACAATATTGTTATTTGAAAAAAAAGCACCCTGTTTTTTATAAGCATTTGAATCTCAGATAGTTACATAATTCTTATCTTATTAAAGGCCAGACCTATAGTTTTTTAATAATTTGAGCATCGATTCTCTTTATAGCCAGACGTTTATCATTTCTGCTGGACATCCTTATTGATGGAGCTTACTCTTTGACTTTATATAGCAAAGAAGGGACAGTTTTACCACAGAAGTTTTTAGCAAAGGATCCAATGTATATCCCTATGAAAAAAATATTGCCCGACAAGTAAACAATTATTGTTTTTAAAATTTTTGCTAATAATAAATTCCCCAAAGAGCCCCATTTGAAATTATAGAAACGAATATATGTAACATCAAAAGAAAATCACGAAAATTTGGTTAAGAATTACAGTGCAGACTTTCTTCATTTGTGTCTATTAGTTTTTTTAAGATTGGTCCAAAAAAATCATAATAAAGAAAGAGAGCAATGCAGGTGTTTAAAGGAAAAAAAACATTGTTAAAAAGACTATCTTCTCTTTGACGTACGTCAAAGATCAAGTAGAAGTTGGAACTTGTATGGCTGCCCATTGATAGCTCGGTTATATAGCTTAAGAAATAATATGTTTAAAGACATTTTTATCAAAGTTGATAAATATGACATTTGATCATATTTGTTACACAAATACTCCCACGAGCACAGGCAAATATATTGGCTACAATTTATCATTTTGTTTGCCATATATACGTTTTATCGGTGCACTTGCACAACATTCGCATTCGCAAAAGCTCCGCATTGATTATTGCGAATACGAATGTTGAAATTAATGCGGAAGCTCCGCGGTTGCGAATGCGAATGCGAATATTCGCAACAACCCTGATACATACGTATGTAGATGATATATCTGTAGTCATAAGCAATAACCGCCTAAGTCGACTTAAGAAGGAATGGAGTTATATGTATCAACCCCTATTCCATGCATACGTGAAATCCCCATCCAGCCAGCTAGGCTATTTAAAAAGTTATAGGCGAAAATATTTTGGTTTCCTCATAAGGTTAACATTACAATCCAAATCTTTCGAGCGTTTTTTCTCGAATTCAAGGTTTTCGACTTAGGCGATTATTGCTTATGACCACAGATATTAGCAATAGCTAAAATCAAAGACGTGGAATATCTACTGATGACATTAAATACACATCATACCAAGATACAATTCACATCTGAGAAAGAAAGAAACAAAATAGCCTTCCCAGATATATACAACGTTTATACGTAAGCTATTTGCAAATAAAAATAATTTGCAAATACCTAACTCACTGTTTATTCGATGGCGAAAAATTCTTTTTTAATATTGCCTGATTATAAAAAGGCAATAATATGACCATCGAAAAGGAAAATAAAGTTAAAAATGGCAAGGTCTTGATTATAAAAAGGCAATAAATAAATTGCGCTTATTTGCAAATAGTACCACTAATCAATACTTATTTGCGTGATTTAGTTATTTGCAAATAAAAAATTAACTCAGGGTTTATACGGCAAAGTTTACCATTTTTCAAATTGTTATTTGCAAATAATGCGTGCGTATAAACATAGTAATAGAAATACATCGCAAAAAGAACAACTTAATTTTTGAATTGGTATGCGAAATCAATTGCATCGGGCAGAAAAATAAACTTTCACTCTGATCACCCCTGGAGACAAAAAATTAAGACTGCCAATAGCCTCATACGAAAAATACGTAGCATAAGCGACATAATGTTTAACAAAGAAAACAACAACAAAATACGCGATATATTTTTCAAAACTAGCTATCCGCGCAACTTAATAGAAAAGCTAATGGAGGGAACGCTCAACCAAACTCCATGCCCAAGTCATACAGAAAATGCTAAGAAAAGGTACATACATACGCAGAATAATTGAAATTGAAAAAATTAGATACCTCATAATACACTACAAAGAATCTTTGCAAAGACAAAGGCAAAGCTCAGAAGCAGTGTTGCCAGAACTTTTTGGGCCGACCGGCTATATTGGCAAAAAAAGCGGCAGAAAACGGCTAAAATGTTTCAACTAAAATTCACATGTTTTATTTAAAGAAATCGCAAGTAGAAGGACTAGTAAAAGCATTATTTTTTTAGTCAATAAAGGTTATACGCAGCAAAGCTTTACACCACTCGTTAAATAAATCATAAAAACAGACTGGTAAATTCATTGCAAATTATTTTTGTTTAACAAAAGAAACTGTCGTTATACGTACAGAAGTCAAATTTGTATTACCTAAATATAAAAAAGAGATCAATTACAAACATATGGCGTTTTCTTTTTTATTAAAAAATGTTGCCTTACATTGTAACATTTGCACTAGGTTACTTTTCGTCATGAAAAATGGCTATATTGGTATGAAGTATTTTGCTTAGTCGGAGGCAATTATTTGAGAAATGAACACGTGAAGCTGTGAAATGCCTGAAGAAAATAGGCCAACATTATTTCGAAAAAAGAAAACAACATTCAGCCATAGTTGCCAACTTGGTGCTTTAAGCACTAGATTTAGTGCTTTTTGAAAATTAAAACGCCAAAAAAAAATTATTTAGTGCCTAGTGCCTTTTTTAGTGCTTTTTTTCTGAACTAAAATTACTTCGAGATAGTTAAAACCTGAAATAATTTGGAATATTTAAGGCTGTAGCAGCACTGAATTTACAAGAATCTGCAAATTTAAATGGACTAAAATACAACCATGAA